GCCAAAAACTTCCTTTCCCAAAAATTAATCACTCCTAAAAATATAACCCCTTCAATTCATACAAATGAATATTTTGGTAAGTTTCTCAATGAGTGGCCACACTCAAATATGGCTGGAATGTTTCTGATATCGGGGTCCGATCTTGAATTTTCAAGTGATTATACTTGCTCATTAATCTTTACAAATCAGTTTTTATGCATTCACAGAGAGATTAGCTTTCAGCGAAAAAGCTATACGTTGATATTTGCAAAATACAATGACAAAATTCAATCAAGTTAAAGAAATGTGATTTTTATATTTTTTCCTTCATCACGGGATTTTTTTCATTTAGAAACAATACGAGAATAATGCCAAACTGAACTTAAAACAGGACTCTGTTTTTTGACAAGGTAAAATGAAACTACTGCAACAATAGTAAATAATTTTACTTCTGTAAAAATCTTAAGCAATTATACAAGAATAAAAATATAAAACTTTCACATAATAGGAACAAATATAGAAATTTTCACAATTCAATAAATTAAATGACAAGATATTAACGAATATTTGAAAATTATAATTTTTATAAAAAAATACGATTTAAAACAATTCTGTATTTATAATAAATTGATACAGATAACATAAAGAAGTTACACATTGTTTGAAGAAATGAGTATTTTTATAATACAATTTTACAAATCTCATCATCAATTATACACATTCCTCTCAAAAGGATGATTATATTCTTTAAAAAGTACAGGTGAATGGATTAATATAACCTTCAACCACAATGGAATAGGTTTGGAAACCAAATACACATTAACAGCCTGAAAAAAAAAGAAAAATTAAATTGATCAAATCAAAGGAAATCATGAAGTAATCAATTAAAACAATATGAGTTATGTGTAGATTTGGTAGATATATTTTGTGATTTCTGGATCATTATATCTGAAGTACAATCTCTCTAGATAATTTGAACAGAAAATTTATGAGAGGTGTTTGACCTGCAAATACGTATGTTGAATCATGTCCACTATGTTGAAATCTTGAACGTAAACTGTAGAGCCTTCTGTTTAGCATTTGCTCAATTCCATAAGCTGTGGTCAAGAATTGTGCGCCACCCAACACACACTTGAAGAGGAAGGAATATTTGGTAGATTTCGCATTCCCCTCTGCAATATTGGTCATATCATGTATTACTTTTTTTTCAAAGAATTCATAAAGCCTTTTTCTTATTATTTATGAATCTCCAATTTCATACCCTTGCTCGAAATTTGGAATGTCTACTGTCACTTCAACTTTTTTCTTCCAATTTTCCACTCTATCAATTTGAACAAAACATGATTCACATTTCATAATTTTGATGAATACGAGACTTCAATGTCATATCTTGCCCAAAAAATTTCCGCATTGGCCTGTTACCAGAAAAAAATACACTTCCAAAAATTCGTTGTTGTTGGAAAGTTCGAGTTTTTTCATTTCATTGTTAAACTGATTTGGATTTTCAATGTATGGACGTTAATTTGTCAGTAATCGAATAAAAGTATTTCTCTTCATTCTATTACACTCTTATTCTTTTTTTTTAGCAGATTTGTATCCCATTAGTTGCAGATGAGTTCGAAATATTTTGATGCAGTTTATACCCAACTGTGTGACTGTTGGATGTAAACTGTTATATGTAGTTATCGAGCAAATAATAACGCTTCTTGAGTTAAGTTCATAAATCTTATATTCTTTATTTTCACCATTAGATGTGTAAATAACATTAAACCAAAATAACTATAATCAAATTCACAACAAAACATCATAACATTCATAATTTATCTCAATAATCTCCTTCTCGTTCTATACAAATTATAGTCCTTTCATTTACAGACTTTGTGGCATTTTTAATAGGAGATTTATGTTAGCACAACACTACCGAATGGTATTCTCTAAATGTTCTTTATTTGGAAATGGTCTGTGCTTATAGAAAAAAGTCCATCGGAGAGAAGTCCGAGAATCTTGGTGGCTAATAATCTTCCCAATCTTGTCCTATCACTTCGCCCCTAAACATCTGACTGAGATACTGTTTCACTTCTACCGTTTGGTGGATCGATACCACAAATTTCATCTAACACCTAGAGGCAGATTATCCAAAACTTGAGACAACTGATTCAT